GGGCATGTGACCATTGACTAATGGGGTGGTAATTGCACACATGAAATGGATAAATCAGAAAGATGTTTTTTTTATATCTGTATGGTCTAGAGGTTAGCTCGTTTAGTACTGCACTAGTGCTGGTTGACGCAGTCCAATATTTTCATTATATTGTATTCTCTCATAAAAAATTTGCTCCCTGGTGCTGGCTAGCAAAATAATCATTGGCCTTTACTTTTCCTCGACTTATGTCAGGTACCATTAGAACTCTGTGTATTCAGAGGCACCCTAAACATTTCAAAATTAAAAATCCCAGTCTTCACCAGGACCCACAGTTTGAAAGCCAAGTGCTTTACCACTCAGCCACAGCACCTCCTTAGTAACATTGTCAAAATGCAAAAATTAAAAAAAAAATGTCTCTTTCTTTCACTTTAATAGAAAATGTGCTGACTACATAATGAGCCATCCTTGATACAATAAGCGAATAAATTTATTTGTTTCATTTGCAATGACTTTCATTTCTGTCAAATAATTATTGGCCATATTATTTTGAGATTGAAAACATGTTCAACTCTTTTTCATCAGGAATGTCTGAATGCTGGAAACACCTGCGTCACGTCATTGGATGGCTACTTCGTTCTCTGTCTTGTCTGCTCTGTCATTGGACTACTGTTCCTCAAGTCACGCTCCAGCTCTCTGCGGCACCTGGGCGAGCTGGGAGAAAAATCCTGGCGATATGCTCACAGTGGCAGGTCTTGACTACGGCTGGATGTCTAGGAGTCTTATTATTGAATGAACTGGCTGCTCTTTATTTTTCTTTGAATAGCATTATTTATTGTTGACTTCAGGAAGTGCTGGTAAGAACAGAGTCAAAGGGCTGAAGCCAAAGATCACTTGATCAGAGATAGAATAAATAAGATAGTGATGACTGTTATTTAACACTGGCTGGTTTTCATTGAACTATTTTGTTATTCAGTTTTTAAGGTGATGATGTTATTACGTGAAACTTTTAACCAAGTATTGTCATAGTGAACAATTCGATTCTTTCTGAACAGCAAAATATTTAGAACATACATTAGCAAGCCCTAGTAATTGAATTAGTATTTGATTATGCTTGTCAACATAGAATGTGGATCAAATTCCAGCTCAATCTTGGGTTTTTACAATCAAAACCTGTTTCTGATTGTTAGATCCCAATCCAAATGATTGCTCTGGAACACTGGGTGCTGGAGTTGTATAGCAATTATCACTTTAACATTATAGTTACATTACATAACCCTTGCTTGTTGTAGCAATGTGGGTCATATACTGATCAACAGGAGGGATAATCAGATTGGCATGATTTTCTTCCCTTCTATTGAAAGACTAGGTGTCGTCTTATGGTATGAATTACAGACATTCCTTCAAATGGCTCTCATAATGGAAATGTCTTTTATTTGAATGTATGTATAATGTCGGTTAAAATAAAACATTTTACACACAGCAGCCATACACTAGTCCTCTAAAAATATACTCTACAGACATCTACTTTGTGTTCATGTCTTGAGTTTCATGAGTAAGACTGATGGGCCTTTTTTTTTTTTTTGTGAAACCATCTAAATGCTGCCTTAGTTTTCATGAGCTGTTCTCTTCCTAGCAGGTTATTATCTTATCTTATAGATTACTGATGCTAGTTCAAAAGAGAAGATAATTATGAGTTCTATGAATATTACCTGTGTTAACAAGTCCCATTAATTAAGTGATGTGCGCCCCCCCCCCCCCCCCTATTTTTTGTGTATGTCAAAGAGAAAGCCAAAAACTGTATTCTCCCTTTAGAAGGTCATTTTATATGAAAAGTTCACGGTACTCAAGAAATAAACTGACATTTTGAAGTAAACAAATACATAGACTGTTCTTGCATTCAACATTCGCATGAATGTAAAACTTAATATTGAAGTTTGTCATTTGACTTTCCAAGAATGTTATTCTGTTTTGTGGATACACATTACTGGTGTCTGGACTTAGCCTATCAGAAGTATTGGTCTGGGCTTAGCCCATCAGAAGTACTGGTCTGGGCTTAGCCCATCAGAAGTACTGGTCTGGGCTTAGCCCATCAGAAGTACTGGTCTGGGCTTAGCCCATCAGAAGTACTGGTTAAAAAAAAATCAGTGTGAAGTTATTTGCTCTGGTATTGGGTCCAGTATTTGGTGTTTTTTTTTTTTTTTAATCAAGTCTATTTACACTTCTGATGCTATTTTAGTTGTTTTATCATCTTAGCCCTGAACAAAATATATTAAAATTAGGAAACTTAAGGAAATAAAAATACTGGACTATCTGGTCCTGTGATTTTTTAAAATTCAGGACTATCTGGCCCATAATTGTTTAATAGTTTCTAGCTGGTTGGTCATACACTTAGTTGATTGCAGGACTAACTGGTCCTATTTTTTTTTTACATTGGTCTATGCCTTTGATAATTTGTCTTTGTGGACCAAACTGGACATTTCAGGTTATTGTAATAGCCAGCAGTTTTCTTTTTAGAATTTATTCTTAGGGGTACTTTGTTACTCTTCCTTGTTTATTGACATTGTGATGCATCTTTTTATTTTGCTTTAACTATTTGTTATTAACTTACATGTCATATATATATATATATATATATTTGACTGGACTCTATGAGTTACTATAGCATGGTGTCTGTTGAGATGTTATTGTTAAATATTTTGTAACCAAAGCAAATTAAATAACATTCATCAGTTGCATTTGGATCAGTAACTAGTCAAAAGGACAATTTACACAATTCTATTGCATTTGGATATTGCTTTTGATTAGCGACAGATAGAAGTTTCAATCATTGTTAGTATAAAGCTTAGAATCTTTTAATGGGAGGGGTAGGGTCAGGAATAAAATTTTAAAAAATATAAATAAGTATATCACAGCACAGGAGGGGGGATAGGGAGGAGACTGAATTCTGTATAGTGTCACATCTCCTTCAGAATGGTATAGCATTGTTGAAATGTTTGGCTTAGAACAAGTTTCCACGTTTTGAATCTTAAATTCTTTGCTTGACTCTGGACATTAAGTTATTATTAACTGTAGGGCTATAGACTATGAGATGGCCTGCACTCTATTAAAAACAAAACAACTAAACATTTAACTATTTGATCTTTATAAATCCTTGATTTTTTGTGTGTGTGTTTTTTTTTTGAGTGCATTCTCTATTTCTATAGCCCACATTCAAGCTGGCAATGAATTCTTGGTACAGTTGAGTCTGCATCAAAGTGAATACTCCATAAGACTCACTCCCTTTCTCTTGCATGTTGTAATGGCCCTTCAAATTAGTGACAAAGTCTCGTTCATTTCTGGCTATCAACAATTGGATAAGAAAACATGCCAGATTATCAATTGATTTAATTTTACTCTCCTGATATAGATTGGGGGTTGCATGGTACAGCGCTAGGCTTCCAAACCAAGGGGTCTCGGATTATAATCTAGTGAAGAATGGCATTTTGAATCCCCCCCCCCCCCCCCCCCCCCATCTCTGACATTAGCTGGTGGTCGGTCAACCTCATTAACCATCATCCATAGAAAGATTATCTTTGCATCATCTGCCTTACAGATAGCTAGGTCTCAAAGGGAGATGCTGTATTTCAAAATGAAACTAGGGTTTTTACTGTCTATAAAATATGTTGCTTTTTTTTTTTATGCCAATTTTTAAAAAAAGAACTTTTTTTTTAGAAATGGTTGGGACTATTATGAATGTCAACATTATGATTTAGTGTGTTATTTTAATTTTCTTGGGTTTATGTGTAACTTTTTTCTAAGAAAAAAATGTTATTTATTTTTATATTTTATTTCACATTTAAAATGATCCTATATTTAATGCAACACATTTAAAACTCAGTATAACCTTTAACAACCCCCAGTAACATTCTGTAAACTATTATCACATCTGTGAAGAAGTCTTGCTGTTACTTATGTTTCATGCCAATTGGAATAATGTCCATTTCTACTGGTTAAATGTGTTACTCTTTTTCATTCTCTATATTTGCTATTCAAGTTTTCTAGTCAAATTATCTGGATCACTTCTATCCTCTCCACAATACATTAAAGACATTTCAGATCACTTATAGACTAATGACATTCATGTTTTAAATCAATAAGTTGGTTTGATTGCAGTCAGTTTATCTAGATATCAGTATATTAAGCTCTGTTGAGAATGAAATTAGATGTTTATCATTCAAAATAAAAATGTGAACATTTAATTCTTCTGTGTAAGCATTATGACCACAAGTTTTCCTGTGTATCCAATAATCTTTAAACTCAACAGTGGCAGCAATTTTCAATTTAAAAATATCTGAGCTTGAGCACTTGGCTTATGTACCTGGGTTCGAATCTCTGTGAAAACTGGGATTTTGAGTTTCCGGATTTTTGGTCGCCCCTGAGTCCAACCAACTAATGGGTACCTGACATTAGTTGAGGGTAAGTAAAGGCGGTTGGTCATTGTGCTGGCCATATGGCACCCAGCTCGTTAACCATTGGTCATAGAAACAGATTACCTTAAGATCATCTGCCCCATAGATCGCAAGGTCTGAAAGGGGAACTTTCTTTTTTTTTTTTTTTTTAATTATAAATATACATTTTTTTTTAATTTTTGTTCTGACTGATTATTGATACTAACTATGAAATATTTTTAAGTGGGTGAATGTTCAAACATTTGTTGTCCAAGATTTAAAGAAAGAGTAGATTGATTAATAGCATAAAGTTATAGTTTTTTTTTTAAATGAGCTTTTTCTTCTTGTGATTTTGTTCAAATTCTTTATTTATTTTTGACTAGATTTGTGAAGTCCTTACAATTTGGTCTGAAAATGTTTGCAGGCACTACAAACTAAATAGTCTGTGAAACCAATTGTGATCTTGTTATTTTTTCAGCTTAAAACTTTGTTATTTTTCAAAGGCATTGGTATTAAAAGTCAATTGACTATTTGAAATCAACAGGTACAGTTGTTTGTTTTCTTTCATTGACACAAAACAACAAAATAAAGATTTTTTAAGTTTTAAATATTTAATAAAAACTAGTTGAAACATTTGTATAAATAAATAAACTCTTGGAAGTCAGCTCAAAATTAGAGAAATGTCATTAAGTTTTGCTTAAAACTTAGAATCACAACAGTTGTATAAATAAAAATGTTGGCTAGAAACACACATTTTGCCTTGAGAATGTAAGTTGATTTTTTGATTGCCTACTAAGGTCACAGTTACCAAAAGAGAAACAATGGTTGGTGCCAATGGTAACAGTTTTGATTTTGGCCTCTGGCCAAATTAACAAATAGTTTGATTTCAATATTGTAAGTTTGACATGCAAGGCTTTGTTGTTTTTTTTGTTTGTATAGCTTGGGAAAACAAAGAAATGAATCTAGTTTCAATGGCATACCTATCCAAGTTGTTAAATCGCAAAATTAAGATATTGTCCACTGTCTCATTCTGGAACATCATCAACACAAATACCCTATAACTATTCCAGAAACACATTCAGCTAAAAATGTCTGCTTCAATACCACACTAGGACTTGTCAAGCGTATTTCAAAGAATAATACAATAGTCACGGCTTCAAACAATTTCTTATAAGGGTATGTAGCTTACAATATCATTTTGTTAAACTGTAAAAAGATTATTCAAATGACAAAAAAATATATCATTTTGACTGGTATTGAACTGCAAATTGACAATAAGTAAAGCTTATAACACTGAATCATCCTAAAATAGATCAATAAATTAAAAACAAAAATCTACAGGAACATGTGGCAATGTTATGATATTGTTTTGTAATTTCAAAATGTAAACCAAAAAAACAAAATGGAATGACCAGAGATTGGCAAAATAAAAACAATGTGTAAAATACATTCAAAGACTCCATTTCACTTGTTGACATACAATACAAATTAAACATGGTAACAAAGTAAAGAAAAATAAAAATCTCATTGGATTATATAAAGTGTACATTGAACCCACAACCTTGTACATAATCAAAGAGTATAGACTTAACTAACTACTGTCAGTCAGGGCACCATGTCAATTTAGCCAACCTTAATAAAAAATTGTGAATTTTTTTTCCCCCCCACAATCTAATGGAGCAATTAAAATGCTATTAGTGGGTGAAAGGGAACTGTCAACATTCACAAATGTAAATTGTTTGACATGTTTTGGATGTTACTTGAGAGTTGAAGAGAATGTACATTCTAGACCAAACCTCCCGTAGAACAACGGAGATGGCAGCGGGCAGGGTATGAAACAGTCCCACGCATACCACATGACCAGGCAGCCAACACTGAACTGAATTAAATAAATAATCTTAGCATATTAAGCCACAAAAAAAAAAAAAAAGTGTCTAGTTCTGTTATGTTTAAACCTAAAGAAAATGTCAATTTAGTGAAATTGGTACAAGCATTTCATAGATTAATATCAAGTTGGTAATTCTTCATTATGTCCTGACTAACCCCTTCACCAATTACCAACTACGATGAAATTCACTCATTTAATTTTGTACTCTGTGTTGTATGCCAGATCTTTAGATGAAAAATAATTATAGTACATTATAATCTGAAAAAAAAATTTAAATAACAATAAATGAACTTTCAATAAAAGAATTTTTTCAAAAACAAATCTTTCTTCAAAGACAAATACTAAAAAAAACAACACAATTTTCAAAATTAGATGTATTATCTCATTAGGATTTGCTATATACAAGTATAGGATCAACAAACTGTAAGGTTTTAGTTCTCTAGATAAGACCAACAAAACAAAATTCTTGTCAAACATTTTTGCTGTAAGTTGAAGCAGTATACAATTAAGTAGGCTGCATTATAGTGGGTAAGATTTAATAGAAATATTTTTAGGTATGATTTCACCATGGATGTTTTAGACAAATTTGTGTTATCCATAAATATATATTAGGGAATTTACTCTATTCTACTTTTATCATAAGATTCATCTATGTTTGTGATAAGCTTAACTATCAAAGTACACAAATGTTTTGATTGGGATGAGTATTAGTCTAGAGTCAGTGAAAGAAACTTAGTCTTATATCATTCTGTCATTTAGTCTGTTATGCTCTGGGCTTGGAAGTTGTGGGCGTCACGGCAGAGGTTTTAAATAAGCGACGCAGTGAAAAAACCTGTAGGAAATCAAATAAGAACATATCAATAGAGAGTATTGCATAGTGAGGAAACAAGAAGTCAACATTGTAGGAAAACATTAAGTAAATAAGTCGTTAGCAATAACACTGACATTACAACAATATTCTAAACTCTTAGTAACCAATAATTTTTCTCAACAAAACCTGTCTCCAACTTAAGTATAACAATTATCTTAGAGTATAATAAAGATATTATGTTTTCTATTTGAGATGCATGTTATTGGAAGCATTTTTCAGATATTGGAGTGCTAATATCCATGCCCACTTCTGGCAGTAATAACCTTACAGAACCTGTTACAAGCAGTCCAACTCCTGGCCTTCAAGTGTGGCTGAGATATTGGATTTGGAGACCTGTTATCCCTCACAGGAGATAAAAGTAAGCAAATGATGCGTTAAACTAAACCCATAAAGTTTCTGTGGGGCTTGTTAGCCTTGACTGGCCAACAACCTAGGAGAAAGAAAACCTACGCTGCCTTGCAGTTTTACACAAACATAGTCAACATTGAGGAAAAAAAAACAGGAGCAAGTGACCCATTAGGCGACTTGTAACCCACAAAGATACACCCTAGCAGAGCCTTTTATGCCGCTAATAAACAGTATCAACTATTGTTATTCCTCTGACACAAATCAAATGAATTTAGAGGGGAAAACTGATGAGTAACAGCATTACAATCGTAGCTACTGCCAAAGCTTTCATCTCATTTTTTTGCTAAGAGATGAACCAAAGCCATCCATGACTAAAAGAGATATGTCTTCTAGAAAAAGGGTCACTCTCTCTTGTGTTCTATTGGGCTTGCACTATACTGCTCTTCTACTCTTTACCATGGTGATCCAGTAAACTACCTTCACAATTATATTATCTTTTTTTTGTTATTAAAGTCTACATCTTGTAGTCTAGATAAACAATACTGTATCATAACTACCAAAAAACATTCCCTCTTAAACTTTCCAAATGGCAAAGGGCACACTGATAATTTTTCTAATGACAAATGAAAGCTTCGATAAATTATGCATTCACTAAGAAAAGAAACAGATCAGAAATGGGACCACTGTATAGAAAATAGAAATGAAACCACTGTATAGAAAACAGAAATGAGACCGCTGTATAGAAAACAGAAATGAGACCGCTGTATAGAAAACAGAAATAAGACCACTATATATAAAACAGAAATGAGAAAGAAACTCACCTGTGTAAGAGATGCTACAACAATCAACACACACTGGGCCACAGACCACATCTGAACATATTTGTTGATGTCATTTAATAAGTAGTAATCTCTTATTACATTGAACCTGAACAAAATAATAATGATAATATCATTAATAATAAGAATATATATATATGTGTGTGTGTATATAATATATATGTTGGTATATTTTAAATTATACAAGAAGGGACCAGTTCTATGCAAGCCTATTGTAGAGAAATGCTAAATTAACTAAGTACTAGACGCTCTTCAGACTTCACCCATCCCTCCAACCACCATTTGCCCTACCACTAGTAGTCAATCCCTCCTGGTTCCTCTCAATGCAAGCAAAAACTGGGAAATCCCTAATCATTAGAGGCTTTCTATTCAATGACAGGTCTTTGATTAAAGTATGGATGTAACAACTTGTCAGTGGTCCCAAAAATTACCCTTCTTGAAATGTTTTTTCAAGTAGAATTATCCATGACATTAATGCAAATCTAGATAAGCTTAGATATTTCAATTATTTGATAAAATTTCAATGTTTTTTTAGATCCACCACTTCAGATGACAGAATTTTTTAAAAAGTTTAATAAATTCTTGTAAGTAGCGTCAAAGCAAATAAAGCTTTGACCGACCCAAAGTTTAGCTGCTTTAGTAGCCAAGGTGTAACACTGCATAAAATTTGCCTTTTTTTTTAAAAATTCAGTTATAAAATCGACTCCCTTAACTTTTATTGTTACAACATGCAGACATGCTACATTATTTACCTGGCAGAAGATTGAAACTCAGTCACAGCTGAAACTGATTCTTGTACACTTTGTAAAGAAGTCTAGTAAGAATAGATAATAGCAATGTGTTTTGTTCAGTATATAATATCTTTACTAGTTAGTTGTTGTTTTGTTACATAAAGGTTATTCCACACTAATCAATTAATTTTTTAACCAAGGTTCAATACTTCCCAAAGTCCATTCACATTACTAAGCTGAGCACTACCCCTCCACTATTTTGTTTACATTGTATGAAATCTTTGCTGATTAAAATATTTGATAATAGTAAATAAGATAATCCAGAAAAAGAAATTATAACTCCTGTATGATGGCATTTCTAAATCAGACCCTCTTGTATTCTGTAAGTGGCATTACTGTTCAAAATATGAGAATCGCCTTAGGGAAAGAAATTTTCAGTCAAACATCAGCCAGGCTACTCCTGAAAGGAATTTTTTTCTTGGTACCAGTATTAAGAAGAAACAAACACTATTTTTTAAACCTACTAATCGGTAAACCAGACTTTAAAAAGTTAAGTGGTCTACTTACAGAAAAGTTGGCAGTTAATATGTTCACCTCCCCTAGTTCTTGCTGGAACTGAACCCACTCTTGCATAACAAAGGTCACGATGAAGATGTATACAAGCTTATGGCCAAATCTATTGAAAGCATTGTCAATACAGATAGCATAAGTACCTAGTGAGAGAGAAATAGTATAAAAATATAACATTCACAAAAAGTTACTGTATAAATTATTTTGTTTTCTACAGACAAAACTCATATAAGAATTTCCTGTAATATTTTAGAAATAAAAAAGGTTGATATAATTATATATAAAGCAAAATAAAAAAAATCTGATTTGTCAGCAACTTTAAATTATATTAAATTTTTGTAATAATACACACCGGTTATTAGAAACTTCATGTACAAAATATAATACTGATGATGTCCATTTATAAAAATATTTAGCTATCACACCAAAAGTCTAGATTCTACATTATAAAATCAAAAACAAACAGGTAAAATGATCTCAAACATATTTAAGCAGATATTCTTTTGCTATCTTTAAGTAGAATGGTAATATACTGGTATCATATTAACACTGGTTCAATAAACTAGTTAGTTAAGCAATGAGTATCACTTAAATTAAGCTGCAATTTCTTAAAGAATTCCCTGATTCTCAACAACCTTTTAAATCTTCAAGGACAAAAGTCACCCATAATAACATAAATATTGACAATTTTGTCAACTCCTCTCTTTGCAGGATGGAACAGAAAGATTTAACGACTTTCTATTCTATCAATGATTAGTGTATTTCAGAATTACATTTGAGCTTCATCCATTCACTTTTTTTAAAACAACTTGATTTAATGTGTTTATTTAATTTCTACTTGATAATCTATTTTGTATATTTTTAGGGGAAAAAAAAATATGGAACAATAACGCAGTGTTATCTTACAAGTTATCTTAATGTTTGACACATGTGTAACACTTTGGAACATATAAAAAACAACATGTTAGCACCACAGAAAGCTAAAAATGATGATTTCTAGATTAAAGTTTGCTTATAGACTCATCCAAATTAAACTGACATTTTGTGAGTAAATTTACAAATAAACTTATAACTATGTAAAAATGATAGGGGGCAAGGTGGTCGAGTGGTTAAGCGCTTGGCTTCCAAACCTGAGGTCTCAGGTTCAAACCTTGGTGGGATTTTGAATTTCAGGTTTTTTAGGGCACCCACGAGTCCAACCAACTCTAATGGGTACCTGACTTTAGTTGGGGAAAGTAAAGGCGGTTGGTCATTGTGCTGGCCACATAACACCCTGCTCGTTAACCGTTGACCAAAGAAACAGATGACCTTAACATCATCTGCCCCATAGACCACAAGGTGTGAAAGGGGAAACTTTACTTTTCTTATGTAAAAATGATACCCTTTTCTAATTATGTTTCTGTGATATTTTTAAAACTAAGTTTTGTGCAGTTTTTTTTTTACTTAATATTATTCAATCAGTACAACTAGCATTCAATATTAAGTCTAATTATCATGCATGATATTGAGCGATTAAATTTGGTGCTATGCACTTTATCGTAAAATTCTGATATAAAGAAACAATTTCAACAAGTTAGCATATAAAACAAATAAAGCTATGGATTTGTTTGTGTTAGAATAGTTAGATGAGCCCATGCTAGCTACCCTGCCTCAGCGTGGCGCTTAGGTGGAAATAATTGTAAG